AGTATCCTTTTACTTTGAATATAGCACCACCTGTCAGGACTATGGTGTATTGCAGCTTACTGTTAAGTGAAAGAAGAAAAAAAATAATTTTTTTTATTTAGAGGTAGTAAAACAGTGCTGTCACAGAACAGATTGCAGAAAATTGCAGCAACATAAACCAACAAATGTATTATCTACTTCAATCAATCTTTCACCCCAGTATTCACAGAGAAAGTAAATGCTACATCTTCCAATATGTTCATTTTAATTGATGAGGCAAAAATATCTGCATTTAATCAAAAAGGTCACAGTGCTTGATGTTAAGGTTTCTCCGCTACTTAGTTGTTTCACTTTTACTGTTAGTCTAATGAGTTTTGATCTAACTTAAGGAATCCTAAGAGCCGAAAGCTTCTGATGGCATTAAGCATATATATGCAATCAGACACCACAAACAATCGCTCTGTTTCATCTTTCCTCATATCTCCCTGAGACAATTACCTCCAATTTTTCTTCAATAACACTTTCCCCTCTCCTTCAGTAAACAATCAAATCACTCCATTGTTGAGGGTAATTGGATCCTTTTAAATCAAATCAGCCGTTATGGTCATGATGAAGCATGGCCTGCGCAGCAGTAGTTGGTGACACATAAGGGAATGCAATGCAGGAATACATTACTGTCTCAGCCCCTCAGGTAAAGATAGCTATATTGGAAGAGCTGTGTAATACAGGTTTATTAGGCTGTGCAGTCATCAGCACAAGGCTTGTTTCTGTCCTTGAGGACGTGTTCCACTTGTAGCACACATTTCAGTAACAAAGACAGTAGATGTAATTGGAGGTGGGATGTACATGTTAGGCTTTTTTTATTATAGCTTTAAAACACTCTAATTTGTCAAATATCATTAAAAAAAACTGATCTTCCTTTGCCTTTTCTACTGTATTTTCTCTCATAGTGTGTAAGTAGCAGATAACTATGCAAGGGCTTTTTGAATCTACAATTAGCTGAACCTCGGTTTTTACCACCAGAAATGTAAATGTATGATATTCTGATTTTATGTCATAGTCCAACAGAAGGAAAGGCACATCTGTGCAGTTGGAAAACAATGTCACACAATTAGCAGGATTTCCAAATGTGCAGACTTTGTTTTGCTTTTGTATTTGATCCACCTGAGTCAATACTTCCTAAAACTACCTTTACTACCATTACAGTTGCAAGTGTTTCAGGATATGTTCTACCATTTTCTCACATGTAAACTAACATATTGTCCATTTTTTTCTGCAAAGGAATGAAGAGCATTTCCACTAATTAGTTTGCAACCAGTAAAAGAGATACTCAATTGATCTTAGCTTTTACTTCATTCCTAAGCATAAGTTTGCTTTACTGTAAGGTGTTACATTATAACTGAATTCATGTTTAGCTTAGTTGTCCTACAGAAAGGTGAACGTCTGTCCTCATCTCGACTCTTGCAGCACTTAACAGGTTTTCCTCCAAGATTTCTGCGTGTTGACCTCCCTCCATTTTCTCATTAACTCCAATTAACTTTTCTTACCCAGCTGCAGGAAAGCATCCCCAGAACATGTACGTGCTACCATAACGTGTCACCACTGGGACTATGTGTTAAGGCTTGGGTGCAGTGTTAGTGCTTCACACTTATGAGCCCTTCACAGAGGAGTTGTATTTAAACTGAGTGAAGATAGCAAGCAGCTTGTTGATTTTAATAATGTACATTGAAAGGCAGAACATTGCACTGGATTTGTGAGTATCAGTGTAAAAGGACCAAAAATGCATTCTCCAGTTTAAAGATTTTTATTACTGAACTGTTTCAAAAGATACAAATGGTTTCCATTTTGGGCTTTTAATGCTCACATTTTTTAAAAGGATCTTTGTTATGCATTAACTTTGCCTTTTAAAATGCTTTAATATTACATTTCTTTTGGCTGATTGCCAGCTTAAAAGAAAAAAAAACTGCAAATTACCCTCAATTTTTCCTTGAGGTACATAAAGCATCTTTGTATCTCTATCCATGACTTAAAAAAATGAGAAAACAAATATTTCATAAGTAGGGCACCATTAGACTCATTAAAATTTCCAACATCGTTGGAAATATTGTTTTATAAACATTTATGGATGGGCACCATGAAAATAAAAATACTGAATATTTCAATGAATATCAGCAAATAAACTGATCAAATCACTGAAAAAATCTAACAGCTGTAAGTGAGATGTAGGACACTTTTTCTGCAAATTGGTGTCAGAGAACGGTCAGTCGCTACAGGGAATGTCTCACTAAGGTTATTTCAGCTAAAGAAGGCAACACCATCTATTATGGGTACGGTGACCTAACTTCTTCTCTCAGTTAAAATCCACATTTTATTTGTTTAAAACTGAGCCAAACAGGGTTAAATGTTGTTGTTGAATTGAAGTTAATAGGGGTGTGCTAATGAAGTGTAAACTTGAAGACATTTTAATGAGCATTGCCTCTACTGTGGTGACAAATTCTATATATACTTGTGTTTACATAAAGCTGACTGTGGATGATTCAGGAGATATGCATGGCAATCTAAATTCAATCAAACTTTTTATTAAAAGCAGTTAGAATTTTTAAGGGTTCCTTCCATTTGATTCTACAGCTTTTAAGGGATCTCATCTTCCATTCGTCTAAGCTTATGCTAATATCAGCACTGGTTAAATCCGCCCCTTCATTCCAGAGCTTTCCATTCATCTTCTGTCCTCTCTCATGGGTGACCAGCACTCTGATGAATCGTCCTTTCTCCTGGTCCCTATTATAAACTTTCTAAACTTGGGCTCCATGAAATAAAAATGTGAAGATGTTCTGAGGGATAAAAGGATGTGGCTGTATACCTACATACTTGTGCAAGCATATTTACTGAATATGCTGCTGGCAACTTATCAGTGCGTTTTGTTGATAAGTGGAAAATATTTATGGCTCTGATATCTTCTCAAGCCTCCTGTGAGTGTCAGGTATTGCTGTTATACCTGGAGTCAGTCAGTTAATAAATTAGTCAGTCTATCAGAAAGCCAGACATCCTTAGAGAAAATGATCTGTCACTCTAACAGTAAATTAGCAAGTCAGTAAATCATTCACAGCTTTAATCAGTAAATAATTTAGTCCTTCACTCAGGCCTTTGTCAAATCTTTAAATAAGTTAAGTAAATTACTGAGTGTTTAGTTAGTAAATCAGCCAAGAAATGATTCACTCGACTCAAGTCAGTCCCATAATGAGTTGTCCTCCAAGGATTCATATTATCTTTGTATTCAAAGACAATAGCTGCTTAACCTCTGCTGAGCCTGGCAACCTCTGATAACACTCCACCAATTAACTCATAACTTTATCCTTAATGATGGACTCTTGAGCATATGTTTGATTCCTATGGATTAATCCAGGTGCATATTTGAAATATCAGCATATATATATATATATATATATATATTTTTTTTTTAAGCGCAGCTACAATCTTGAAGGAAAAAGTATACATTTCCTATATAGTACTCGTCATGTTTGACTTCCAAACTTGAAGGAATGCAATAATATGGCAATGATGTGTGGTTTTATGCTTTCATGTGCAGAAAGTTTATCAGAAATCCAGAATAAAGAGAAGTGGAAAGCTGTGAAAGGAAGAAAAATATTTCTTGTTTCAAAGAGCAGATCTCAAGCTGCACAGAAAAAGTAGCCCGGCTACTTGGTGTAAGACTTAATGAAGTCACAGTAGCAGCAGAGGATTGGTCATTGGGTAAAAAGTGGCAGTTGAAAAGGCAAGTGGTGCTTTTGTTTTGTGCTGTGAAAACAAGTTGCTTAAAAGGTGTTATTTTACAACCAGTAAAGTGAACACAACAAGCCTTTCATTATAGAACTATTATTTTGGCTTCATTGTTCTCCGTTTCAAAAAAGGGTGTTACAGCCTGTTTGAAATGAGAAAACAATAGAAAAGCAACGTCTCTTTACTCTGACTCAGATTGATTTGTTTTCATTACTCTTCAAATATTAAACTTGATTTATTTTTTTTTATTACAGTATGCTATATCATTTATTACACAATGTTTTAGTAAAAGGCTGATTTGTTCTTGCAGTGAACCTCTACTGATAACTGTAAGCAGCAGATTTCCACAGGTGCATATAACTTTCCATATCCATCGGCAATTACTGTTTGGGGTGAGATAGCAGTTGTTAGCCTTGGATGCTACTTTCAATAACAGTAATTCAGTGGTATACAAAACAAAGGGTTTGTATTTTGTGTTTTATTTCAGCCTCTTCTATTCGAACGGCCGCTCAGTTTGTAACTAAATCTTAGCTGTGTCTCGTATTCAACTCTGAGTCTGAAACAATTGTTCTTTACCTGAAACTTGACCTGTGGGTTTTTGTCCCGCAAAGCACAAAACAATTCAAGAGTAATTGACAGATTTTATGATGTTTGAGACATTTCTTTCCCTAGGCTACCGCTCATGTTTGATTCATTCCTACATTGCTCCTTAGTCAGCACAATCATATATTTTATCTCCACAGTTTCTCTACTGTCTTCTGCTCTCACTACCTATTCAACGTGATCTCTCTGGTCCTTTGCCTCAGTCTTCTTTGCCTCTTAGTCTCATGGGAACTTCTCAGCATATTTCTTAGATAGATAATGACACCTACGGAACTTAGCAACTTGTTTTCTCTTACTTTAGCTTAGAGTGACAGTGATCGATTTTAATCATATTAATTTGTTCTTACAGAACACTTTTTTATAAATATATGTGTATTTTAATGTGTCCCAGTAATTTACTTATCTGTACCTTTTTAAAGTTATTACAAGAACAACTGAAGATATACACAATGTAGAGAGTTAACTTAAGACAAATTCAGAGTGGGACCAAATGCACTCGGATTGGTGTTAAATATAACTCTTAAAGTGTGACTTTAACACTGCAAAATGTACGTTGAGCAGTATCTTAGGGATGCTAAAAGTATCACAACGTTAATTAAAATTCTTGCTCTAATGTTGTTTTTTTTGTTTTTTACAACTAGGAAAATATGCCATGAGGGATTTGATCCATCGGTTACCAGGCAGTAGTAGCAGCAGCAACAATAATACCACCAGCATCGGAACGTCAGGCACTCCCAGCAAGGCCATGTCAGACGATACAATTACTGCCATATGCTGCGCGCTACATGAGGTGATAATCAAGAATATGGAAAATGCAAAAGCGCTACGTGATGCTGGAGGGATTGAAAAACTCATCGGCATTGCCCGCAGCAAAGGAGACAAGTAAGTAGACCATAGTTATGGAATTGTGTTTTTAATTTCAACTATAAGGAAACAAACTCAAAAGTTTTGAGATTAATACTTGAAATGACCACAGACTGAAAGATGAGCTTCATTATTTAGAATAAAAAATAAAAAAATTTTGTGCAACTTCTGCACATTGCTTCTTTAGTAATACAAAAATAAAAAATAAAAAAGTTTAATAAATGATGCGGTATGTGGTTAAACTCATTTCCATTCCAAATAGCCTTCATCTTGAGGTTTGGAGCTAATCTGAAATAAGCTTGTCCAAATTTATGATAGTTTTGGATTTCTTTTTATTCTAATTTAGTTGTATTTATTTATAACTATTTTCTCTCTATAATTAGTTTTTTGGGGGATTACTAGTTTTTATTAGGTGCTAGTATTTGATAATAGTTTTTGTTTTATATGATTAAATAAATATAGAATTTAATACAGTGTAAAGCCTTTAAACTGAGCTCAGTATAAAGATCCTGTATTGCACAAACATGCCATAACTCTATGTAACCAGCAGGGATCCTTGCCTTTATGAAACCTCTTTTATCCATCATTCATACCTGCACCTTTGTTACCTGTGATCATTCATCTAAGAAAAAAATAATAAAACAGAACAACAAGGAATACCTAGCTTAAATAGACCTTCTCACCATGGGAGACCATGCAGGGTGTTCTGCCTTGCTGCTATAGCAACCAGTAGGTCAGGGGTTGCCATGGCACCAAAGTGTTATCAGTCTGAGGTCAAATTTTGATTTATCGTGGAGAGAGTAGGTCTATTTAGGGACCATGCTCTAGGGTACCATTACACAGAGGAATGAGGTGCTGACAGGAATCTCGCATAAATGCAAATTCCTCAGTGAAGCAGTTATCTACTAAATGGCTCACACATCTTAATTTTCCTATTGGCACAGGAATAAGCAGCACTATAACACTTTAACACATTTACACTCCTATAGTCTGAGAAAATACTGCTCATGTTAAAGTGATACCGTGTATAACTGTAAATAAGGTAAACAATACTGTCTAAAAATGCTGCAGAATATAAAATTAAATGATATAGAGGGTTATAATGAATAAATACTGAAACACAGATTTTTTAACTTTTAGAACATTCCTATCTTTTAATATGGTCCAATTCGGGCATTGATCTAGGGTTATTGCAGCTAAAGATTATTTTGTTATGATACCGTGTATAACTGTAAATAAGGTAAACAATACTGTCTAAAAATGCTGCAGAATATAAAATTAAATGATATAGAGGGTTATAATGAATAAATACTGAAACACAGATTTTTTTTACTTTTAGAACATTCCTATCTTTTAATATGGTCCAATTCGGGCATTGATCTAGGGTTATTGCAGCCAAAGATTATTTTGTTTTGTTGGAGGAATTAATAGAATTAATTACTTAATTCTATTAAGTGAGTTCCTGTTATGAAGATCCGGAAAAATTTAAACCATCAACAAATGTTTTAATTTACATTTAAAACAATTGCATTAATTTGCAATGTATTCATTTTAACTTTTAATTATTCAAAAAATATATATAAACTTACTTTAGACAAATAGAAAATAAGCTTTTTTCCCCCATATGACTGCTGTCAAAAGACTCATAAACTTACTTCCACTATAATGATTTTTCATCTGCGTGGCAAGTAGGACACCATTAGCATGGCTGGGTCGGTCATTTTAAACTCACATTAAAAGAAAAAATCTCCTTTGAAAAGAGTAATAGTTTCTTTGAAGCCATTCCAAATTTTCCTGGCGTACACGCATCTGGCGTAACTGGCAAGAAAGGGAGGCAATGTAAAAATGCAAAAATTACAATAAATGGGGTTTCTAAAGAAATAACTTCTCATCTTTTCGCAATTTCTTTCCAGACACTCGGCAAAAGTGGTAAAAGCAGCCTCTCAAGTCCTTAGTAGTATGTGGCAATACAGAGACCTGCGCTCCCTCTATAAAAAGGTAGGTGTGTTGTAAACTATGTCCTGCTGCATTTGTAAATTTTAAATGAGGCTGTTCTCCTCTAATTGACATTTAGTTTCTCTCTACTGGTTTAAGGTACTCGAGGTTGTTCTGTTACTTTTTCCAGAATTCATTCCCTCAAAGAATGTCCATCTTTTCTTCTACCTTCTCTATCATGACAAAGCATAACTAATATAACACGCTTAGGCAAAAACCATGCTACAGCTCTAATTAGGTGGTGATAGCACTTCTGCTATAATAGAGTTCTGACATGGCATAATTAGAAAAATTATTGCTATATTTAGAAATCTGGCCTGATAGCTTTTCACTTTGGCTAAGGCAGATGGTAAAGCTAATTCTCTATGGAAACATGTAAATGGAGCTAATGAAATACACATTTCCATGCTACATTTTGTAGAATAACCAGCTGATCATTTATTGTTCTATAAAAACACATGAAATCTCATTTGATGAATTTCTGCTTGAGTTGTTTTCTTCTCAGGAGCAATTTATTTGTTGGTTAACTGTGAAAGCTGTGCAAGTAAGAATAACTGCTGAGCTTTGATTTACATATGAATATTTGGCAAAACCTTATTAAATACTGTCAACATTTTTTGGATTGCTTGAGATTTTAATTTTCAGCCAGAAATGTCTAATGAAATAAAACCTAGTAGTAAATATAGACAAGTGAAATACATTATTTCAATTCAATACAATTAAAAAATACCAAAGGGAAAGTAAAAGTTGTTGTAGGTGTTGATAGCTGTAGGCAAGAAGGATCTTCTGGAGTGATCTGTCTTGCACTGGGTCTGGAGAAGCCTCTGACTGAAGACCCTTTGTTGTTGTTTAAAAATCTGAAGAGGATGTTCACAGTTGTCAAGAATTTTCTTCACTTTATAAAGAATTTTTCTTTGTGAAATCATCTCCAGAGGTTCTAGAGGAGTTCCTAAAACTCAGCAAGCCTTCTTTATTAGATAGTAGAGGTTTTTTAATTGTACTGCTCTAGTACTGTTGCCCCAGCCCATCCCGCTGTCCACAACAGACTTTTAGAAGGTAAGTACAGTAGCATCTTGTTGCAAACGCAGAAGGACCTTAGTTTTCATAGGAAGTGAAATCTGCTCTGTCCCTTCTTGTAGACACATTCACAGTTGTGTTTCAAATCTAGTTTATTTTCCAGCGGAACACCAAAGATTTATACTCCTCCACCACCTCCACTTCTTCTCCCATGATTTTATTAGGATTCAACCTGTTCCTGTTTCTTTTGAAATCTACAATAATCTCCATTGTTTTGCAAACATTCAAGATCAGAAGATTGTTAACACACCATACCACAAGTATTTAGCTTTTTGTCCATTTTTGATCCACCCAGTGACTGAGTATTTCTGAAGACAACAGGAGTATGTCTGGTACTGGAAGTCAGGGGCGTACAGAGTAAAAAGGGAATAAAGAGAGCACTGTCCTATGTTGTGCTCCTGTGCTGCTGACTATTTGATTAGACAGCTGACCCTTCTGTCTAACAAACAGTAGTCTGCTTGTCATGTAGTCTTTGATCCAGGTGATTGTTGATGCCTCCACCTGAGTCTTCTGGAGTTAATTGGCTTAAATGTGTAAATGCACTGGGTAAATTAAAGAACAGGATCCTCAAAGTGATGCCTGCCATGTCTAAATGACAGCAGATTTTTTTTTAAGCAGATGCATAATGGCATCGTTTGGCATTGTTTTTATATGTACATTGACCTTGAGTGTTTTGAAAGGCGCTTGAAATAAAATGTATTATTATTATTATTATCCCCAACTCCATGGTGATAAGCAAACTGCAAAGGGTCCTGATACAGTTGCTACTTGTTTGCTTGCTGTGGTGAACCAACAAAACTCTCTAGGACTGTCATGATATGGGATGTCAGGGCATCCAGGCTATAGTCACTGAGGGCTGTTGGCTGACTCTTCTTTGGTAGTAGAACAAGGCAGCAGATGTTCCACATCACTGGACCTGTCTCCAGGGTCAGACTAAGGATGAACAGGTGCTGTAGAATCCCACGGAGCTGCTCTGCACAGGCCTTCAGGACTCTGGGCCTGACGCTACCAGGACCTGGTAACGTATTACGATTCAGCCTCTCCAGTTGCCAGTTGCCTCTTCACTTGAATTCTAGAGACAGACAGGTGAAACATGAAAGGAGCAGCACCATTTTCTGATTTGGCGGATGACAAACTCATAGAAGCAGGAGAGGCAATGGCAGAGGAGGGCAGGATGTCCATGTGACTGTTGGCAAGAGAGAGGGATGCTGAGCTTGTTCCTGAACTGAACCTGTTGAAGAATGTATTCAGTACATTGGCTCCGTTCAGACTTCTACCGGATCATCTTTCTCCTTGAAGCCTGTGATTTTCCTCATCCCTGACCACACATCTCAGATTTTGTTTTGCTGGAGCTTGTTTTTCAGCCTCTTCTTGTATGTCTCCTTGCTTTCTCTTATCTTGTCCTTAAGTTGCTTCTGTATACTCCTCATTAATTCCCTGTCTCCCTTCTCGTTTTTCTTGTCAAGCAGTTGGTTCAGATCATGGTTTATTTTTTCGGAAAGCATTTCACTGTTTTAGTAGGGATGTTTTATCTGCACAAACATTTATGTAGTCAGTCACAAACTCAGTCATTGCATTGATGTCGTCTCAAAACAATGTTGTAGTTCTCTTCAGCTTCCTTTGACCATCTTCTTACAGTTATTTGTAATGCAGGTTGTTGAAAGCTGCTTTGTGCACGGGAACGTTGTGCACTAAAGTTATCCTGTTTAACTTCCTCTAGTACCCTGTGATAATGAACTGTGTTAGATTGAATTTATATTTACTGCAAAGAAATCTCAGTTCTCAAAAATCTTTTTGAATCTTTAAAAATTCAAAATTGAGTCTTAAGTGTAGGATCTTTTTTTCCATATAGTTTTCTTTTTCAAATTAATTATTTTTGAAAGCAAAAACAAACAACCAATTGTATTGCAATTAGGACCTCCAACATTATACTTTGCATAACTGTGAATCATATAGTATATATTCTTTTTTTTTTTTTTTTCTTTTATGAAACTTGAATGACTAGTATACAGTTGTAAAAAAAAAAAAAAAAAAAAACTTGTAATCTAAAAATCTAATGCATTGAGTTGCCTTCAGAAGTCGTCTGACATTTGATTGGTTTCACCTGTTTGGAATATAAAGACAGCTTTCCTTTAACACTCTCAGAGGTGTGTTAGAAAATAATAGTGAGTATTCATCATTTTTAACGCCAATAAACATCTCAGAGAGGACTGGAGATAAAGCTTTAAAGGAGCAAAAAGTGGGTTTAGATGATAAGATGGAAATATCTAAATATAGAAAGCATTTCTGGATACTTTGCAAAATATGGCCATCTACCTAAACTAATAGACAGGGCATTAAAAGTGTTTATCAGAAAAGTATCCAAGCCCCTCTGTAACTCCAAACAAGGTGCAGAGATCAAGTGCTCTGGTAGGAGATTCTGTCGAAAATGTGTGTTGTTGTTTTTTTTTGTAAAACAGTATGAAACAATGTGAAAACTCAGTGCTCATCACCCTGAACATGCCACCCCAATATCATGCAGTGACAGGGAAGCTGATCAGAGTTGATCAGAAGAATGGTTTAGTTAAACATAGGAAAGAAAAACAGAGACTGCAAAAGACTAGGGAGTTCTATTACTCCAAGCAGGGCAGCAGCCCTCAGCATACTGTATGTCTAGAGCCACAGTGCCCCTTTTTATGTAAAAATATCTGAGTTTAGCTAAGCTATGTGTTACAATTCCCAAACTACTTTTGGAGTTAAACTAATATTGATTTTAAAGCTATTGCATGTATTTCTTGCTAATTTCTGTTCTTTCTGAGGCTCATTCAATGTTTTCCAAGTTGAAGACACCAGAGTTTTATTCTCTGTGAGTCAGTAGGACTGCCTCATTATGAAGGATGTTCTATGCTTGGTATTTTTTTAAGTTCTTCCAGCTTTTGTCATATTGGCTTGAGTTTAATCATATTTGAATGTGATTAGTATGATGTAATTGTCTACAGTGGTGTCAAAAGTACACACTTTTGTTACTTAAGTAGAAGTATAGATACTGCAGTTTAAAAACAATCTGGTAAAATTTGAAGTATCAACCCGACCTTTTACTCAAGTAAAAGTGAAAAAGAATGTGCTCCAAAAACTACATAAAATATAAAAGTATAAAGTAACCTTTGAAGCTCAATTTTTCGACTATTTCCAAAATTTCTTTGAGATAGGGCCAAGGATGAGGGAAGTCTTGTTGGTCTCCGTCTCCCGATACGCTCTTGCCTGTGTCTGACCTTTCAGACATTTCAACATCTTTTTCTGAATCCCACATTGTAGCATGGCATAGAAAATTCGCGTTTGAAGAACACCTGCTTGCTTCTGATGATTCCCTTCATCTAACCAATGAGTATTTGCGTTATATGACTCATCCAATTACACTAGTTTTCACTAGATGTGGATGGAGCCAATGATCTGCATTGGATGGCGCATATGATGTGAAATAAATATTTATAAACATTAAACCGCAGCCAAGGGTAACAAGTAACGTTTGTTTTAAAAATGTAAGGAATAAAAAGTACAAATACTGGTGTGAAAATGTAATGAGTAGAAGTCAGAAGTAGGAGGAAAAATAAGTAATGGAGTAAAGTTTGGATACCTAATAAGTGTGCTTAAGTACAATAACAAAGTATTTGTACTTTGTTACCTGACACCTCTAATTGTCTAGTATTTCTTGGATAAACATTTTCTCTGAATTCTAAGTCATGTTCAAATATAGGGCTGCTGTGAGCGTCTGTACTGTATATAGTTAGAACAGTAGTTTTACAAATTTCAACAGTTCTATAATATACCTGAAAATACATTGTCCTCTTTCCAGTCCAGTTTTGTAACTGTGGAAATTGATGTGTTAGAGGACTTTATCACTAGAGTCCAGAGCTCAAAATAAGTAACTAGAGTTCTTGTATCCTTGC